GGCGCGTGCTGGGGGGCACGAGGGGCTGGGCATCATCCCACACACTGCTGAGCCCGAGGGGGAACGAAGGTTCTGCACTGCCCAGAGGGGCCCTGGCAGGGTTCAACTGGGTTAATCCCTTTGGGGACACCCCCCCTTTCCAGCCTGGGTGGTTTGGAGAGTCCCTTGCCCATTTGTCTCCCGTTTCCTGCCGTGCCACGGCCCCGGTCCCGGCTCTAGGATCTGGCAGGGGTGGAGAGATTCAGCACAGCAGGGGAATGGGTTTGTGGTGGACATGAAGCTGATCCGAAACAGAGCCGGAATCCAAATATTTGGGATTGGGCCTGGACATGTGCTTGCAAGGGAGTGTGCAGATGTGCATCAGAGGATCGTGGAATGGTTTTGGGTGGAAGGGACCTTAAAGCTCATCCAGTTCCACCCCCGGCCATGGTCAGGGACACTTTCCACCAGACCAGGTTGCTCAGAGCCCCGTCCAACCCCGTCTTGGACACTTCCAGGGTAGAGGTGCTCTCCCTGTGGGACCATCCGTGCCCGTGAGCGCGTGTGCCCCGGGCACCTGTGCCTGGCTGGAAGTGCCACCTGCTCCATCCTGCCGGCAGCCAGGGCTCCCAGGCCCTCTGGGATCTCTGCTCCCACGCCAGCCTGTGCCCGCTCTTTCCTCTCTGTTGACATTCCTGGGCTATTCTGGGAGCTGCCAGCAGGCCCGGCCAGCTGAGCCCTTTGCCCCTTCGCTCCGCGGTTGCATCACCTCCGGTGGGTGCTTTTTCCCAGACAGCCCACTGTGTTTACATGGCACCTCTGGCTTGGCCAGGGGCAGGGGCTCCGTGTGGTCAAGACCTTGGAATCATGGCACGGTGGGCACAGGACATGCCGAGCGCTGGCGGGGCTCCAAGTTCCCACCGTGCTCTCTGGGTTCCCTGCCCAGCCGGGCTCTGCCCATCCCCCGGCAACGTGGCACCTTGCATCACTTTCCCGAGGCTTCTGCCGGCCCCTGCCCCGGCTCGGGCTGCACATCCCACTCCAAAGAGCCCGAGGAACATCCTGGTGCTGGTGTGGCACTGGCTGCCACCTCCTGAGCCCTCGGGACACACAAATCCCCTTTCTACTGTGTGAGGTGGAGGGGACACTGTGTTCCCCTTCTCTGGCCCTTCCCGGCTCTGTCCTGGGCTGAGGCTGGACCAGGTGATCCAAGGGGTGGACTCAGACCCCCAAACCCATCACCTGGTGACAGCCACAAAAGCCCAGAGATGTGACAGTCCCTGGGAGCTGCAGGGTCATCCCAGGAGCCCCCTGATCCCTGCTGGGTCCTCTGTCAGCACCCAACAGGACCGGCCCTGCTATGATGGCTCAGGGATGCCCGGGGGGCAGTGCCCAGGCTGGGGGCAGGTCTGTAGGATCCACGGGCAGGCAGGAGAGCAGGGATCCCTCCAAATGGCTGCTCTGGGGCTGAGTCTCCTCCACCAGCCAGGATTTGCCCCAGCCCTTGCTTCCTGCGGGCTTTGGAGCAGGTTTGGGAGCTCAGTGTCCGGCTGCCCGAGCTGGGGGGCTGCCCGGGGCAGATGCCAGGGTGAGCCCCAGGCAAAGCCCGCGGGTGG